TAATCATTGACCTAAACAACAAAATGAAAATTTTGTTGACACGAAATCATAATTATCAATTACCACACCAAAAACACAAACATTTTCATTTCAACACAGAAACCATTACTTACACCACATTCACACTGGACAAATAAACAAAAGTACACGCCAAGAAACATGCAAACACTTCTACGTTCACTGATAAACAATCCGCATAAAGGAACAAAGAATGTGAAGTAGTGCGTGACTGTCCAAGAAGTGGAGTCGGAGGACAAATAAATTATTAAAACAAGCAAAATATTTGTTTTTCTTTGTTTGTCTTTTCATTGTTTCATTCTATCCTATTGCGGATTACGATCAATTTTCGTCAAGATATGACCAATTCCTGATATTTCATTAAAGATTTGTTTATACATAGTTTTGTTTATAGTCTGGCATGGGTACGAGGTTTTTTTCTGAATTGAATTCAATATATCATCGAAAATTCAGACATAATTTTTATAAGTTCACGGACATTTTAAAAAGATAATCTACTAGAACCAATTGCACATGGTTTAGAGAAATTGATGGTATTTCTTCAAGTAGCATGAAGTCTCCCAATTGACTTCCTTGTCATTGAGCCTGTTTGTTGCGTGTGATGAACTCAGTATGATCGTTTTATAAAAATAGATACACAATAAGTTCATAATTGGACATAACCAACGTGGCCGACATACTTTTGTTTGGTTTAAAAAACGAAAGGTGCTCAGATAAACCTTTTAAGGGGCAGTTCGTAATTCGAAAACATGAAACTCGCTAAATTTCCAATTCATTCATGATTCTGTTCAAGGTTTTTCATTATATTGCCCTCTTCGCATAAAACTCTTTCAATTTCCCCTTATTCTCCGAAGAGGGTGAGCCCGTACGCACTGGGACGCGAAAAAATGCCGTCCGGCCACCCCCTACACCTCAATATCCCCAGGGGATGCTTTATGAATTCTTAAGGAGTCGCAAAAATTAATGCCGACGCCCGCCCTTCTCAGCCGACACTACTTGAAACAATTAGCCGATTTCCCCGAGGATAAATAAGAACTAAGGGAACCCGATTGATACGTGCTGGCAATAAAGAATTTATTAATAAACAAAAAGGTCAAGAACCACGTCCCACCAGATATGGATTTGTCCGGTCGTGCAGGGGTGTACAGAAAATTTTATGTTTCTTAACAATGAGACAAGGACCAGGGATGGTAAATTGAAACGTTTGCTTTTTTCTTCGACAAAATGCCAATACAATTAATTAATTAATTATTGAATTAATTAATTATACAATTGAAAAGCAGTATAATAAATCAATCTATAAGCACATCACCGCCTATTATTTCTTTATTTATATCTATTGATATTGATGATTTGGTTTACTGCGTATCATCTCAAAGCCAACATTCACGTATGCGCCAGTAATAATAAACAATCACCTATAAATTGGACATCGTTCAGACTCTTTTCAGTTGGTTTTCAAAATTGGAACGTCCAAAGTGCTGATCATATATATTTATTGTCACTCGATTTGTTTTGTTGTTGATTTTCAAACGTAATTTTAGTTTAACTAATCTCTCTAATACTGCTATTATTTTCTTAAGCAAAATTTAAAAAAATAAACCGAGGATGTTTAGTAACTTTGAAATACATTCACAACAAAGAACACGAAACAATAGAAAAAATTCTTTGTTTAAAATATTTTTTCTCCACTCTTAGGGCCAATTGGCGAGAACAATCGTACAATGTTACACAATCGTAGCTTCCCCTTGTTATTTTCTCCGACAGTGTTACAGGGAAACGTTCTCGGCCAGAAAAACAAACAAATTGAAACGCTTAGTCCAATTTGGGAATTATATGACGAAAAGATAATAATGATTTTGCTGGAGAATGACAAATTGGTAAATGATAATCCAACAAACAGCGAGACAAACCGCTCCCAACTTTTAACGTTCAGCTATCGAAGAGATAGATCTAGGTGGACAAAAACACGCTAATTTGTTACTGAAAGAAAAGATGTTGTGATTATGAGCAGTCGTGCGGTCGCGGCGACCAGAGTTAGCAGATGCTCCAAACTTGTGTACAAACAAAGGGTCGGCGTTGAAAGGGTCGCCAAATTGGGGTGCGGCTGTGAGGATCTTGTTCTGAAATTGACTTGTGACATTCGGGCCCCAACACAAGGGTCGCTTTGTGGCCGGATTGGCCCGAGTTCAGAACTCTCACCGCTATCTCCTCCACCTAGAAACGATCCGGGAGCCTTTGATAAAAGACTTCGATAAAGTCCCTTTAATAAACCTTAGAACGTCACGCTCTTGAATAGATTAAGCAAGCCGAAGTAATCACTTAGGGTTGTATTCAGAGGTCCTCTTTTTTCTCTCTCTCTCTCTCTCTCTCTCTCTCTCTCTCTCTCTCTCTCTCTCTCTCTTTCTCTCTCTCCTGTTCCTATTTATAACTTTCAAAGAAGACTCGTTTGACGTATTTAATACAAACCCAGATTCCGATCTGTACGGTGGAGTTGTTTTAATTTAAGATTACAGCCGCTCGAAAATTGGCAATTTCCGTTTTCTAGTTAGTATAGAAAGTCCCGATCTCCCTAAGATTTCAAGGAAATCCTGTAAATACGAGTCGCACGAAATCTTTCTTTGTGTTATTCTTATCGAAACTAGTTTTAAGACTGGCAAGGTTTTTCATCTGACCTAATTAAAAATTATTGATAAATCGGTCGAAATGTCATTTCTTTCCTTTTCTATGTATTATATGTTAATACTAATACTTACAGTATATAACCTTGGTCTGTTGTAATCGGAATTTATGATAAAACGAAATTATTTGTCTGCTAGGTGCTAATATTTCTCCCTTCGTTTTGAGATCCTCCTATATGGATGAAGCATGTTTCCCTACGATACTGCGATCTCAGGCTTCAATACTGCTCAGAAAAGTCATACGTTTTTTGTAGTTTCTTGACGTTCAGCATGTTACATGACAAGGAAGGTCCTTATACTTTGCGAGATTTCACTGTGTACTCTGCGGTGTGATAAACCTGCAATTTTGTCATTCCCGATCATTTTGGTCTTCCTATCCTCGCTGTGTTTTTCTGTCAGAAAAAACGCTCTGTTTCGTCAATTTACATTTTCACCACTTACACACTCGGACAACTACTAAGACAAAACATTTACAAAGCCAAACCACTTGGCAAAAATGCCATATATGAGAATGCGGAGACAAATATATAAGTCAAAAAAATAAAAGACAGATACAATGAACATATAAAATTGTTTAGGGAGAACTTAGCAATTCACACACAGAAAACAATTACGAACATTCAACGATCTAATAAGCATTAAAGTGTTTGTACAAAAAAAGGACAAAAAATGAACGTACGTAAAATGTGCTTGAAAACATGGAAATATAAAATAAAAAAATTTTGTCAAGAAAACAACTCATAATCTCACAAATTAACAATAGTTCACATACATCAATCACACCATTCAAAGTACAGTTAAAAAGAAAAACGACTGACGGACAAAGATCGATCGGAACTATACAAAAACCCATACTTAATCCACTACATACACCGACAAACTAATATAAAGCGGACACTCCTCATGACGTTATTAAGAGACCTGACTTGACAGAAATTACACATCTAATACTGAAGATGGCAAAAAAGTATTTGATTTATCAAATTTGTACTGGTAAATGCCCTGTGACTAATTTTGAGACTAAAAAGGTAGTTTTTCTGTACATTATCAACATTTCTTGATAAATAAATTAACCATATATTTTATGTTTATCTCTGATGTATTTTGAGACATTATAATATTGCTTGTCAATCAAACAAAATGCTCGCTGTATGATTTAAAAAAACCCGTGACAACCCTTCTTAAGTGAATGTCGGCATGTGAAGTTAGTTTAAAAAGAATAGTAGAAGGAATATAATTAAAAAATATGGAGACAAAATTTAAGTTATCAATGTGACGAGATAAATAGAAAATAAAATGAAGTCGAAGGTTAGCGATCCTCTTAAATAAGCCTGTGCTTTTTTTAATGCCGTACCTCTTTGCCTTCTATGTTTATTAAATACACGATTTAGTAACACTGATTATAAAATCGATTTAAAAAATTGTGTTTATGACTTTATATAAGAAGATATGAAACTGAATTAATTAAAACTTTGAACATTTGGGCACTAATGAAAGAAAACCTCTATTGTAGATAATCTGTAACGTATATATGAATGAATCAACGTTACGCCCATGATTGAATCTCACTACAAAGTAATTTTAAAATAAATTGTCTCTTCTCTTGTTATTTAAACTATTGTTAATGTTCCATTTGTAAAATTTGCAGGGTAACAAACATTTAAATAAATATTTAATATCTTGTTATATGTATTTATTGAACGAACCATCGTTTTAAAAATAGTATGTCTACGACTGTTTAGCTTTGGATATGTTCAACCCTGGACGACGAGGGTAGGTCTGTTCTTTTTCTGCAGTGAATCTCTCCTGTTATGACGCCGATCAGACCAGGGGCGAATGAAATATTTGTTATTTTGAACTGAATCGAAAGGTATAAATTCGCCGGGGGAAAATAAAACAAAAAAAACTTTTACAGCGCGATAACCTATGTTGATCGGGTTTACGTGCCCGTAAGTAAATATCGGGATGTGCGTGTCGGCCGTCACTCATGTTTTTGAAAGCTCATGTCGTCTGTTGACGTTCCCAACTGGGTCATAGCAAGAGTTTAAAACAGGGATACACTTTGGATTAAATAATAGCAAGGGCTTCCGAGCAATTAAACCCACGGCTCCCGGATCGGGAAAGGGTGATAGCGACTGACATATGGAGCTGAACCGACCCTAGATAAGGAAGTACTAAGTTAATAGCCGTAGCGTGACTTTACTCACACCCGGGGCTACAAATCCGGGCACACATATGTCCCCAGACGGACATTACGCCTTCTCACGTACCTCCTCTAATGCCCCGAAACGCACGATAAAAATGTTAATTGGACTAATCCAGATTGTTCTCTATGTTGCAGCTGTGAGCTCGATGAGGTCGACCATGGATCCTTCCAATTGTATAGTAGTAGAGGAGTCAAAAGTAATCTCACAGGACGTACCGCCAAACGATTCTACTATCTCACAAGCACCAACAGAAGGTAATTAGATATTAATTTGATTAATAATTCCTATTTTATGTATGCTCAACTTATACATAATAAGTCCGCTTTAAAAGAAGTGTACTAATTTAATGAAGATAAATGACGCCTTCACATCCACCCTAACTAGAGTGTAACATTATTTGCATGTTTCAATTAATTAAGGTTTTTAGGTGAGATAAAAAAGTCAGTGTCACGAGCGGGTTTCGAACCCACGATCTTCGGCTAGATACGCCGCTGCTCTACCACTTGAGCTATCGTGACCTCCATCCACTCGGACACTAACTTCCCATCTCAACCCCACCTTTTGAATTTTCCCTCCTTTTTGCCATTTTTCAAATGTCGTGTAATCTATTTGATTCTCGGCGACAAATGAAATGCCACGGAGAGCTTTAGTGAAGGTATACTTCATTTTAACTTATTAAATTCACTAGTTTTCGTGGTCCGCTTGGCCATTTAATATCTTTCAATTAATTAAGGTTTTTAGTTGAGATAAAAAAGTCAGTGTCATGAGCGGGGTTCGAACCCATGACCTTCGGCTAGATACGCCGCTGCTCTACCGCTTGAGCTATCGTGACTTCGATCCACTCGGTCACCAACTTCCCATCTCAACCCCACCTTTTGAATTTTCCCTCCTTTTTGCCATTTTTATCCGAAGTAATTAAACAAACCCGCGAGTGAAGACGGACCCAATAAGCGACCTTATGGCGGTTCAGCATGAAATTACACAAAACAAGCACAAGTGGTTGAAAAGTTAGTTTACCTGCTACGAGCCGCAACTTTTACAACACTGTTAACTGAGCGAAAACAATAGCAAGAAGAGAAAGGGAAGGAGGAAAGAATTAGAGCAATTTGATCTATTATGCATGTTGATAATATATATTTTAAATAAAACTCTTTTCTGCGTATTTAAAATTTAAAAGGTATATTTATCTGAGGCGATTAGGGACAAGAATGGGCGTAACTGATAAGGTGACCCATCACTGGCCTCTTGTCCTCTGAGAGAAAAAACCTCAACGAATTCGAGTTTGCCCGAACGAATAATCATGAAAACTGGCGAATGATCAAAACACATATGAGTCCATTAGGCCATCTTATTCGTCGAAAATATTGCGGATCCAAATCAGTTTGGATCTTTCCAGCGGAGAGGTACGAAAAAGTCTGCTAGCCCTCTATCGCTGGTCATTTTATTTTCTCAAATCTACATCATCTTTCTCCTCTGTATGGAGTCTACAAGCCTTTAATTATTTTTATTTACTGGCTCACCATGGGCTAGGAAGTATTAATTTTTCCCTTGCAGGAGAGTTTATATAGTACATAATAATATGTATAATATATTATATATAATAATATATATAATTATATATATAATATATACGATCAAAGGGAAAAATTGTTTGCATTCCGTTTATGGCATAGATTAATAGATTAATCATTAGGTATTGTTTATTGAACCATCGTTCACAAAATAGTTTTTAAATGTTTTTATTATGTATTTATTATGTTTATAATGTTTTTCAATGTAAATCATTTCCCAGGAAAAAGTTTCCCGATTCAAGACTAAATTATGATTTCTTACTTGCTTACTGCCATATCTCCATGAGATCTTCAAAGATAGGAAGTTGGATATGCTAACTAAGATAATTAGTGTATTAATGTATGGATTACATCAGTATAACAAAAAAAATAGAAATTAGAACACTTATTGTTACTTATTAATCTCTCGTTAAATTATATTTTGCCCAAACGATTAGGACAAAAGAAAAATTCAAATTGATCAATTTTGTTGTTAACTTCTAGTATTGAATCAGCCAACCGTTCTTCAGGTACATTCGTCTCTCGAAACTGCTGGGTTTTTTTTTCCAAGCAATTGTTTTTTTAAATGTTAACTAAATATGTTACTGTTCATTCGGAAATACCAATAGTGGTGGCTTCGATCATTTTGTAGATCCCTCTATTAATGAACAAATTCACCATATTTTTTACATTAATACATTTTATCCATATTCTCCGTCTTCTCTATCACACGGCGTGTAACCTCCTCCAAATTACTGGTATGAAATTTGGACGAATACTGCGGCAATGGACGCCATTTCATGCGTAATGATTCACATGAAGTTTCGCAGTTCGCAGCTTTTTGTTTCCAATGGACGCGAGGCCTAAGGATTCACGTCTTGAATCTCATCTCTTAATTGGAGGTTAAAGTTCTTAAAAATGAGTCAATTTTTTTTTCAAAATCACTGAAATCTAGGGGATCGATATGGCCGCGTAGTTATGATTCAATTTTTCCAGAGGAAAGATTTTAATAGAGGAGTAACAAGAATACGAAAATTTTACAAAAATTAACATGATAACTTTCTGCATGCTCCGGTTAAAATTTTACAACACAAACAAGGATCCTTTTAAATTTAATTATAACTTTTTATGTTCAAAAATGATTCCAGACTTTAAAAAAACCAGAACGTTTGAATCTGGAAAATGAAATCATTTCAAGGATTTTATTATTAAAGCGTTTAATCTGTCTCATATATGTTGGATACCTCCGGGTTTTAAACGGTCAAATATAACTTTTATTTCTCCGAAATATATATATATATTAAACTTAAATAAAATATTTATTTAGAAATTGTGAGATGCGGTCTGGTGTGATGTAGGTTTCAGAAAAATATTTTCTTTATCGTGCCAACGTTTCGATCTTTGACAATTAATTAAGGTTTTTAGTCGAGATGAAAAAAAGTTAATGGCACGAGAGGGATTCGAACCCACGACCTTCAGCTAGATACGCCGCTGCTCTACCACCTGAGCTATCGTGACCTCGATCCACTCGGACATCAACTCCCCATCTCAACCCCACTTGTCATCTCGACTAAAAACCTTAATTAATTGTCATGTATTAATTGGTCAAGCGGACCACGAAATTAGTGAATTTACCAAAAGGTTGATAATGAAATGTTTATATTATAAAGATAATTTATTACCTTCTGGGAATGATCAATACACAATTAGATAAATTCCATGATTCAATATTAAATACACCTGGATCGAGGTCACGATAGCTCAGTTGGTAGAGCAGCGGCGCATCTAGCCGAAGGTGGTGGGTTCAAATCCCTCTCGTGCCATTAACTTTTTTTCATCTCGACTAAAAACCTTAATTAATTGTCACGTATTAATTGGTCAACCGGACCACGAAATTAGTGAATTAAAGTTTCGATCTTTATTGAGATCATCTTCAAGGCCTGGGATTTACAAACATTGTTTACATATAACAATTACATTTTGGATGTGGAAAAGTGAATTTATACAATGCAAACTATATTTTTTATATATTCAATCAAAGTATTTCAGTTTTCCACATCTAAAATGTAATTGTTATATGTAAACAATGTTTGTAAATCCCAGGCCCTGAAGATGATCTCAATAAAGATCGAAACGTTCGCACGATAAAGAAAATTTTTTTCTGAAACCTACATCACACCAGACCGCATCTCACTATTTCTAAAGAAATATCGATTAACGGTCACTAATCACCACACATTAAATAAAATAATATAATATCGGCATTGCTGGGACAACAGGAAATAATATTAATCCTTCAAAACTAGGAATAATTATTTTATGCACTTTGCATTTTCGTAAAACATCACTCAAGTTATTAAACTATGAAATAAACTTAAAAGGCATCCATTGAATTATGATGAAATAATGAGATTACAAGTCAAACGTAAAACATTTTGAACTTGACCTCCTTAAGGGCCAACTATCAATATTTTTCGTTCAGACATTACAAGATTATATTCGTTTAAAAAAGCATAAATTATTAGCATAAATCAAATGAAAACTCGAACTGTAGTCGTAGTTGGATTTCATCATCAGGTAAGATAGTGTACGTGCTAATAATACATATAAATACATCTTTTACCTTTTAATTTACTTTTTTCGGGGTTCGCACAACATTGCCAGTGTTTAAAAAAAAATAATAGGTGGAATATATATTTTATTTTATTTGTAGTATTATATTATTAGAAAGCATAAACTAGACCCTACCAGCATTGTACAAATTTTTTTTAGATTCCCTGTCATCGTTTTCCTTCCATAATTTCAATAATCAAGCCCGATTAAACACAACTGTACATGAAATAAAAGTCAAATTGTGGTATATTATTGATTAGCCTGAAGATGTTAAAGTAATTACTAGTTTAACCACAATCAAGATGGAGCACTGGTAAATTGCTCTTACCGATAAAACAAGATAGGCGCTGTCAAAGGTTACATGTCTGCAGTTAATTCTAGATATATATTACACTCCAGAGGTGTAATAATTGTCGTCTGATAGGTCAATAGTTAGTACTTAACCATCGCTTTGGCATGACGGATTGCTTTATTGATTAAACTCAAGCCCGAGTATTGGTCAATTTTATTTTGGGCTAATTAAAAAAAAGCGATTAATTTTTGGAAATTCGTCACTAGGTCGAGTTTTTTTTATCGTCTCCGCCCTTATTGCAGTTCCGGGCTACTTTGCGTCTAAAACTGAATAATACGCCGCATAAATCCTCACTCTCCTGTAAATGTACAGGCCACGGAGGAAAGAAATATGAAAGGGACTATTATGATTTACTCTTAACCCCCTCTAGGGCAGTGAAAAAACGCTCGGGAGTATTTTTCTCTTCCTAAACCCGGTCCGATAGGTGGATTGGACATTTTTTAAACCAGTAAGAGAATCCCTATTTATTTATTTTTCGGGAATATTAATCGAAACGCTCCGATCTGGAAAAGAGGAAAAGAAAAATTGGGGAAAGAACAAAAAAGTCAATCCTTCTCAACCCTCCGTTTTACCCCTTTTCCTCCTAGAAAGGGTAGATAATCATCATCTTCGCTTTGAATTAAACCGAAAAGTTTTGCTCATTGCATTTTAACAAAAATAAATCTGTATTGAAAAACAATAAACGTTACTCTTTTCCTAAGAGACATTTTTATAAACCATTCCCATTAAGTTATACACC